CCCCCCCCCCCCACCCCCCCCTCTCCGCCTTCGGCAACCATCCAACACGCCCCCCAAGGTCGGCGGAATCACACGTACAGTTGGGTAGAGTTGGGGTACAAGTACCCCCGAACCCTAAGCCTCAAAACTTCAACCATCATTATTTTTGGTCATAATTCCATACCTTGGAGACCCTAAACCCCAATCTTAAGAAAAACCTAAACCTTAAAACCCAAACCCTGGAACCTCCAAGTGGGGCCTCTCCTTGCAGTTCTTGGCCTCCGGTTTTGAGATTGTTTGCAACTTCATGTACCTAAGTGTATTGTGCCGTCTACTGATCTGTACGCATTGGGCAGTGGAGAGCTGAAGCTTGATGAGATTAAGGGCTTTGGGTTCGGGGTTTAGGGTTTGCGGGTTAGGGTTAGCGTTAGGCTTCAGGGTTGAGGGTTTTGGGGTTTGGGGTTCTGAAGCAGAGGCTACGAAGCAGGAAAGATTTAAAGCAGCAGAGGATGAAGCAGGAAAGATTCAAACCAGCCTTTTCATCCTCAAAGCACCGCGGTTCCGTTCTGCTTCAACCTAGTTCCATGTTAGGGATGTTAGGCATCCTTATTGTGGGGTATGGACCAATGGATTTCTTCTCGATTCTAGAAAAGCAAAAGGGAGTGCTTGGGACCATGCTAAGAGGACCAGGAAATGCGTATGGCGCCCGAAAGTTCTCCGCAGCAAGCCGTGTAAGGAGTGTCAGGTGGGCAGTTTTCCGCAACCGTAAACCCCAAACCCAAACCTATGATACATGCCTTCCACGGCCCAGTCATATACCGCCTATAGTCTCCCCAACAACCTCAAAAACGACTAAATGTGAGTGTACCCCTGGTCCCTGGTCCCCGCGCTCCCCGCCCTAAGCCCTAAACCCTACACATCCTTATACAATCCCTCCTTTCAAAAGACCTGGCTCTTAAGCCCAAACCCATAAACCCTAAACCCTAAACCCCAGGACCAGTCCGTACCCTGAAGGTGCGCCATCAAGATTGCTCATCACCTTTCGATCCTGTTAGGAATGCGCCTGGACTTGCACGGTTTAGGATCTGAGGTTTAGGGCTTAAGGTTAAATAAGGGGTTTTGAGTCTGGAGTTCAGGGTTCACGATGTACGGTTTAGTGTTCTGGGTTAGCTTAGTCTCCTGGGAGTTCCAATCCCATGACAAACCTTAGCAGTTTAGATGTGATGGGGCCGTGTTGGGTGTACTACTACCTGGAGGAGATTCTTGTGTGCGTGGGGGGTTAATGACATCGGGAGTGCCGTTCTGGAGGGTCCCTATGGATTCAGGAATATCTAGCTGATTCCAGTGGTATGTACGGCAACCCTACGTCCGAGAAGCACCTATGGTGGGGATGGCGGCCTAACTGCAATGCAGAGGGTGCTGGATTGTGCTGCCTGTCTGAGGCGTGGCAAAGTCTAGTCTGAGTGTCATTTCCCTTTCATGATTTGTCGCTTCTAGCCAATTCACGAAAAGAGGCTTTCGGAGAAGGAACAGATGTTGATGCAATGTTCAACATTCGGCGTTTTAACCCAAACCTAGATCCAACAACCGTTAGATCTAGCCTGCTTTTGGATGTGGGAGGACTAATACTTATCCGCAAAGCCCCCTTCCAATCGGTTAGGCTCATTACAATCCCGATACAGCCCTAATATAATCCCAGCTTCCAAAGCAGTTTCCATGTCCTCGTCCATTTGATTCTCCACTATTGTCATATGTAGGCATATGCGGTCTCGCGCCTGCTCTTTCAACAGTGACCCTCCGTATTGTTCCCATCCCATCTTCCATTTGACTTTCATCGTGTTTCGCCATTTTCTGTGTGTTTATAGGCCTCATACGCCCCTACAATACCCCTACTCTGAGAAGCCCAACCTACACAGGCCACGTAGGGCTTCCCAAGCGTGCCCCCATTTATGAGTGTGTATATGTATATATGGAACCCCTTTGTATTCCGTCATGTCTCTCCAGTGGCTGTTGTGGGGTACCCCAATTCCTAACTCCTAAACCCTAGACTCCAAGCCCTGACTGGAGATGCTCAGGTGCAGGTGCAGCGAACTGCGCAGGACTTTCGCAGCTTTATAAACATGACCCTGCAAGATTTAAGATAAATTGATTGTGGTTCAGGATTTAGGCTTTAGGATTGATAGAATTTTTGCGCTGATGGAGAATCTGATGGAACATGACAGCTGCAGGCTTGAGTCACATAAGTAGGAACAGACGGTATGTTGTCAAAGTACGACAAGCTTTTCACCTACCCCAAGAATGGCTTACGGGAGGGCGAGAAGAACTGCTTTTTACACGCCTTGACCGAGAAGATGAGAAACTTCAAAGCAAAGGACCTCAGCATCTGTCGATGATCCTTCACTCTGGATTCCCAAATGTCTTACCTTGATGTCGAACCCCCCAATTAACGTGGGAGTTCTGAATTGTGCGAAGTTTGAGCAAACTTCTTCAGCACCCTCCGGTTCCTTTGGGGGGTTCTGGTCTGTGCGAGATATTTTTTGTGGTGGTCTATCTGAGCTACCGACCATGGAAACCCTGATCCCAGTGAATTTACGTAACCTTTTAAAACAGGACCCAAATTGGTTTGGGCCCTCCCTTGCACTGCCTTGCTAAAGAGAGACCTTTTTCTCGTGCATCTGCGGGGGAAGCTACACTGACCAGGATCCAACATTGCTTTTTCAGCGATCCCTACGGTTGGCCTACCTAAACCCCCAAAATAGGTAAAATAATGGCCCAAACCCCCTAAATATAGCCCAACAGGCCACTATTCTACATACTTTGGGGGTCCAGGTATATCCCTAAAACAAATCTTCTGCTTCTACCAACGACAACCCCAAGCCTTCCCAAGAGGTTTTGCCCAATTACCCGGAACTCCGAAGTCGAAGTCGAAGGTTCCTTTTGTGAGTCTCATTACGGATACCTGGACCCCCAAAGTATGTAGAATAATGGCCTTTTGGGCTATATTTTGGGGGGTTTGGGCCATTATTTTACCTATTTTGGGGGGTTTAGGTAGGCCGCCAATTATTTATGTAGAAGGCTTACTTGCAACCTCAAACAGGAAGTTTTAGCCCTTTATTTCTAGGATTCTAAGTTCCGGGTAGGGCCCAAAAATCCGTACATAACTGGTAGTTTCCCAAAACAGGGGGACCCCAATATAGACCCAAAAATATTATAGTCCTTATTATGGGGACCCCCAAAATGGTGCCACCAATTTTAGGAAACCCCCAACTTGGTTAGACTTTCACGTATAAGCAAAGGACCAGAGTCTTGACAAATCCTCGCATTGTTGTTTTAACTTCAGTCAGTTCCGATCGTAAACCTTGAGCCCTGAACCGTTACATCCCTAGAACCAGATGCTTTAGACCCGCCCCAAACCCTAAACCTTGAACCCCTACACCCCTGAACTGCTCAGCTGTTGCTTACCATAAACGGGGCTGCTGTTAAGGAATTTCAACTAACTTACTATCAGAAGGAAGCCTTATGATTTACTATGTACCCATATGATGGTAACTTAGTTTAAGTTCCTAAAATCCCTATATTCCCAGTTTCCATTTCATGTTCCATGCTCTTTTTTCCATTTGATTCCCCATTTTAGGGGGATAATATGGTAACTGATTTAAGTTACTTAACACACTAAACCCCATAGCTTAAACCCTAAACCCAGTCAAGGAGGCGGAGGGCATCCTTCGACAAGCTCTACAGGAGCTCATCACAGAGGCCCCCTGGAACTGGTTGCTGTTAAGGAATTTAATGTAAGTTGCCATCGTCTGAGTATATGGGTGGTTGTCAAAATTATGGTCCCTTTTTGGGTACCCCAAATATTAGGTGCCGTATTATAATAGGGACCCAAAAAGGGACCATAATTTTGACAATCCCCCATATATTCCTAAACCTTAAACCCTAGGGTTTAGGGTTGGCCTTGGCTTTTATTTGGGGTTACCAGGATTTAGGGTTTAGGGTTTAGGGTTTAGGGCTTAAGGTTTGGGTTTTTAGGGGGGACCCTCCTCGTACCATCAAGTTGGGATTATGCCCGCCGACTAGTGGCTATGTAGGCCTTCATGGCGTCATAGGGTAGGTGGAGGGTCTAGGCAATTATGTAGTTCCCGAGGTGCGGTATTTGCAGATTTTCTTTACTTAGCATTCAGTTTGTCGCTGTCTTTTTCATGCGTTTGGCTGGCCTCGTAGTACTTGCAAGTACGAGCCTCACATGATAGATACCAGCATTTATGGGGATTTATTGAGGGTGTGTGAAGAGAGGTGATTGGAATGGCTTCCATTTTCTTTTCCATTATCCCTATATAACCCCCTATAAAACCCTAATATAACCCTAAACCCTAAATAGTAGTTTCCATTTTCTTTTCCATTATCCCTATATAACCCCCTAGCCGAAGCCCTAAAACAGTTTGGGTGACATGCCAAAATCCTAAACACTAGCTGCCATGTTCTTTTCCACTCCGGTTTCTATTTATACATGTAGCCCATACATATATACATAAACACTATCATATAACATATATATACACACATATATGTCTATATATATATATATGCATGTGTGTGCAGATGTCCTTCTACATATTCGTGTATTTCCTGGGCCAGGTAATCTCTAAACTTTAGACTCTGAATCCTCAACCCTAAACCTTTGGGTGTTGCAGGGCCTGTACTGGAGAGTACCCAAACTTGCACCCTTTGGGAGGTACTTATTGTGTGTTTGTTTTAGGGTTTAGAGTTTGAGCCCTAAAGCCCTAAACTCTAAAGCCGAAACCCAGAGACCTTGCAAGGAATCAGGATGATGTTTGTATGGTAGGGATGAGGCCTCGACTTGAGAAGGAGACAGACACGTTAGGGTTAAGTTTAGGGTAGGGTTTAGGGTTTAGGGTTTAGGATTCCTTGCATTGCTGCGGCATGCCGGTGTGCCAAATTCATGCTATGGATGCTGCCACCAGTCAGTGACAGTTGGGTAATGCTTATGGTAAATTTTTACAGCCTTGAATATGCACTTATTATCGCCTGTTACGTCGTGAGGGCGGTACCCAACTTATTCTTTGTCTTTGGATGTTTCTATGCTACCGGCTACCCTAAAACTCTAAAACCCTAAACCTTAAAAACCCTAAACCCTAAATTCCCTGAACCCTAAATTCCCGAAACCCTAAACCCTAAATTCCCTAAACCCTAAACCCTAAAACCCTAAGTTAGGACAGCTGAGAGTTGCCGGCCAGCTGGGGGATTGTGGCGCCTTTAGCAGCAAGGGATTTAAATAGCCCAATGTAGGTAAATATAATGCTTCATAGGGTTTAGGGTTTTGGGTTTAGGGCTTGTTCAGAGAGAGTCCTGGGTTGAAAAAAGGGTTTAGGGTTTAAATGTTTAGGGAGTTAAATAGCCCAATGTAGACAACCTTTACAGACTTTAGGGCCCAACGTAGGTATTAGTTGTGCCCTTGGATGCCTATAGCCCCACTACTTTACAGCCGCAGGTTGCATTTAATTTTCCATTTTCTTGTACGATTATTGGTATTATTTGTAAACTAGGATTTCTACGGTACGATATTACGTTGAAACCATATACCCTTTACCTAAGCCCCAGAAACTTCCTTGTCAAGGATCTCTGAAGGGCCGCTTGGCCAAGGTTACTTAGGTTTGGGTTTAGGACCTGTAACTAACTGCAACCCCTCTACCACTATGGCATAGTATGACCGCAAAACCTAAACAATTCCCCACTATCAACTTACACCTGTTTTAAAAACCTTCCACAGCAGGCAAAGACCATCAAGCTCCCAGCAGGGAAGAAGGCTGCCAAGTCTGTTTCTTGAGCGGAGGGTTTTGGGTTTAGGGGTGCTGTTCTGGTGGTTGAACCCAGTGGGGGTTTCCGAAAGTTAGGCGCCACTCATCAAAATGCGGACTCTAGTATTTCGCGGTCTATATTGGGATTCTCCCCGCTTTGCGGAACTACCAAGTAAGTTCATATTCGTTAGAAAAAAAGTAGACCCAAAAGTTGGCTATACTCATGCTTTTTCTACCTTGGCTATAAAATTCCTAGTAAAACATGCTTACCAGCGCGCCCTACAAGTATTGCGGGCTTTCAGTTAAGCAGCCCTCTGTGCGTATGTGGGGGCTAGCGAGGGGAGGACACGGGCCCTAGTCAGGAAGTTGTGCTGGTCATTCAGATTATAATATACTATAATCATAATATACGGTAATAGTATACTTACTAAGACTTCTAGGGTCGAGGGGTGTGGGATTTTCGGAGTCTTCAACAAGTACCTTCAGGGTTAGGCTTCAAGACATTTGGTACACCCTACGTACCCCTGCTGTTTATACTTATTAAGGTTATAAATGGCACTCACATGGAGACGGAGGAAAAGATTATTAAAAGAAAAAAAAGTGGAAAAAGGCAAAAAAAAAAATCCAAAAAGGCAATGGTAAAAAAATAGGTAAATCGTGGAAAATCAAGAAGATTAAACAAAATATGCAAAATTGTAATAAAAAGGCAAAAAAGGTAAAAGGTAAAAACAAGTATACACCATATATAGATTAGCTTTTTTTTTTTTTTTTTACATGCCAGGCACCCTGCCTCCATCTTTTTTGT